GTTCCACTAGGCACTGTCTCTCTCTCATATATATTGAAATAAAGAAAAAACATAAATTCCATTAGATTGATATTTTGTGAGATAAAGTTTGGATCGATACAATTTTTATTTAATATGGCATTTATCAATAAACTAATTTATTTATTGTTTTCAGAAAGATTCTTTTGATTAAAGTACTCAAATTTTTTGCAATTATAGATATTTTATATTTCAATGTTTTTTTAATTAATTGGAAAAATTTTGTAATTAACGAGCAATATAAATTAAAGCAATGAGATCATCTACTTTTTAATTGAAAAAATTTTTAAAATTGCTTGATAATGATCAATTTGAAATATATTTTTTCAAAAAATTAACAACATTTAACTATACTTATATATCTAATTATGCAAAATAGTTTTTTAACATAAAATATTTTAAAAAGTAAAACAGAAAAAATAAATTGCAAATTTTTAATTTAAACTAGCTTTCCATTTATGTAAGTGACATACAAGTGGATAAGAAAAAATTTTAAATAGTACAAATAGGATGGTAAATGAAAAAAATGTGAGCCTGTCACTTGAGCGTTGGGATTTATTGAGAGAATCAAATTAAAATGGAATTATCGCATTAAGAGCCGAGTCATCCTCGTGGCGTGCTGATTGCGCTGCCAGGGGCGTAACAAGGGTGATCTACCAGTAGTTTTTTTCTCTTTGTCTCCTTCTCACTTTGAAGAGTCATCTGCACATGCATCATCCCCCGAATATCTCAATGACTCCCACACCCAACAATTCGGCTTGAACGACAAGTCGTCGTGGCCTCATGAATTTTCCGACGCTCATTGAAATAACCGAATGATCTTGCACCAACACTGTGAAGTCAAAGGAAAGGGATAGCTTTTTGACTCCCTCATGAGGGTGAAATCATTCGACCCTTTGCACATTTATTATTTATATATTAATAGGCAACCCCATGGTAGATTCTCAACTTGACTTAATGCATATCTAGACCTGTCTATTTATATTTAACATTCGATTTATAGTGACAACTGTACCATGCATTTTATCAATATTATAGTTTATTCACAATTGTAAAAAAATTTAACATTAATCATTCGATCAGTGGTATTTTATTTTTATCACATGAATTTTTTTACTATCAAAGTCATTTCTAAATGATAGACAGAGAGAAAATAATTGTAAATTTTACTCTAATAAATAGTAGTCTGTGACTGAGTACTTGGATTACTTGATATAATTTTCATTGTTGATCTTGTTGTACGAGTACTCTTAGTCTTAAAAGGAACTTTGACTTAAAAAACGTAGCCTATGCTTGGTATTAATTATAATTTTTTTCTTGTGTACTAATTAAACAATTGCTTATTGCCATTTTTGTACTCGAAACGATAGACTACTATTTATTGGAGTAAAATTTACAATTCCTTTCTCTCCGTGTATAAATGTAAATATACATATTGATTATTTCAGCATTTATAACAAACTTACTTAAGTAACTCACTCACAACTGATATCAATGATGATTAAATTTCCCCTAAAATTGAATGAACCTTGCACACAAAATGTGTAAACGATCATAAAATTACTGGAAAACCTTATCGCTGCAGGAGAAAAGCAAGTGATCAATTCCGGGTGGTCGAGTCGTATCCCTTGCGGAAGAATTGACCGATACTCGAAAATCCCCCGACATTTCTTACAGCTTGTATGAACTATCCGGTAAATAAATAAGGCTTTTTGGCTCATTGAATTCATTTTTCTCAATTTTCCTTCACTTTTTTCTTCCACAATTCTGTATATACCACATTTATACCAACGAATTCAGTTCACTTAGCAATTTGGGCGTTGACGTAATGATCGTACGATTGTAAATTCTAATAAACTCGCACAAGGGAGACCACAAGACGTACGACTGGGGAAAACATGCGGATACTCATCGTGGTAAATATAAATCTCAACTAACCACATTAAATTCGAAAACATGGTCCAGAAAAAGCCACGCCCGCAGCTTTTCTCGCATGAGTCGTCATTGGAATTTAATTAAAAAAAAAAAATATTTATATGAAATAAAAATCATTTAAATAATAGAAGATAAGTTTTAATAATCGGTAATACGGAAGAAAAATATTTAATTTAGCTTGTTATGTAATTCTATGAATTTATACGCAGAGTTTATCAAAGTCGCATCGGTCCTTAGGGACGAGCAAGTGTCCCACGTAATGATGTTCAGACGCGTGCCGCATCACAGCAGGGTATCAAAGAATATCCCTGTGGTCCATCGCAACTGTTTAACGCTCAAAAGGGGATTAGAATGAGAGTCTTCTTTACCACATACACCACTCTACACTGAATAAGTAGCGCGTAACGCCACATTCTCGTTACTTATTTGCACAAATTAATTGGCTTATGGTCCCCATATATCATCACATGAAATGTATATTCATGTGGGAAAATAATATCATGATACTAAAATTGCTAATGGTCGTCAATAAATACTTCATTATCATTTAATAAAAAGCTAACGATTATTAATATATAAAAGAATTATCTCAAGTTTTCCAACAATGTATCATTTAACGAAATATTATTTAATATAGCTAAATGAAACGCCTTGTTTTAGAAAAAATGAATTCTTTATTCAAGCTCATTTTTTCTTGGATATTACAAAACATTTACCCTAAAATACATTTAACTTTAACTTCAAAAGATAACTACATATTTTTCACGAGTTAAAATGAACTCTTCATTATTTATTTGACTGTAAAAAATATTGAGCAAAGTTTTTTTTTCTTTTTCCAATATTTCATTCTAACAAGTAATATCTCAAACATTCTTTGCTCCAAGTATTTTCCATTATTCTTGAAAACTCTTAAAAAGTGCCATATTGTAGTAGAAAATCAAAAAACTCCTTAATTTTGTCTATTACCTTCAGGTTATTTGATCTTCTATAATACTGTTGAAGACGGAAACTTAATATTCAAAGCTCACAGAGATCCCCAATCTTCATCTCCGGTGTGCTGCCATGAACGACCAATACTCTCAACGTCTTCAAGTATATCTCAAGTACAAAACATTATGCAGGCTCAAAGAGTCGAGGTCAGAGCATGATTTCTAGTATTTCTCTATAAGCAAATGTAACAAGTAAAAAACAGTTTATTCATCATTCCATTCTTTTTCTTCTCTTTTCAATATCCACTAAATACTTTCCCTTGTTTAGGTCCAATCGTCAGAGTCTCGTCAGTCTGATCGATGATACGCTAACGTACTGCGCATGCCATTTAATACACTGAACCGTCTTATTAAATTAATCATATTTAATTCATACAAATGATTCTGCTTTTTTTTTTTGAACATACGTAATATTTATCTCAAAAATTATTTCATTATTTAACAGAATCAGACATGTTGAAAATTTAATTAAAGTTAGTTTAGAGAAATTAATTAAATTAAGAGGTAGGATTTACTTAAACAAATATATGTTAACCATTTAACATGAAATTACATACCATGAAACAATGTTTACATTACAATATCCTTTTATAAGTATAATTGGTTAATTATATTGTGTCATACATTTTCATTATTTTCTTATTCAGAATAATGAATACATAAATCAATACAGTGTACTATTCATAAATATTATTTTAAGAATTTTCATTACTTGAAATAATTGATTCGATGCAAAAAATTGGCCTTTAAAATTTTTTTTCCCTCTTAATAAATATCCTTTTGTATGATGGAATAAGCGAACAATAAAAAATAATTGAAATTACATTTGTTTTGAAAGAATAAAGAAAATAACATTTAGTTAACTAATTCAATTATTACTCTATTGTAAAAATAATAAAATATTTAATTGTCACATTTTTAAAATAAAAAGTAATTCAATTTTCTATAAGTTACAAGTTTTTCAATTTACACAATTGACAAACAATGAAAGAATGTATTTAACAGAAAATATATAAATGACTGTAAATTAAAAAAAGCAACTTGAAGTGATTGGATTGAAAAGTGCATTGAATGGATTGGTACACAGCTGTAATAAAAAGTCGTCAGGATATTTGGAAAGGCAGAAGATAATTTCAGGGTGACATCGTAAATTGACAGAACAACGCGCGTTTTCAATTCACTCAAATTACGTTCCAATTCTGCCAGTGACTTTAGCATTGTTGCTACAAATTGGTACACGCCCTGGCTCCAGGGCAATTCACGAGCTCTTTTCTACTCACTTATTCTCTCCTATTCTACCCTTTTACTCGTGTACGAAGAATTTGTCTATATTGTGCATATAAATATACATTTCTATTTATATGATATTCTTGAATAATCACGTACATAACACTCATCTCAATACTTTTATTATTACAAGACTACTTTTTAAAATATAATTGGCTCAAGTTAAAGAAAAAATTCGATACTTCACTAATAACAGTAATAACTCAATTACTTTTAAGAGAGCTTTCGTCGTATGCTGCCTCGTAATTGGCCAATTCTTTTGCTTCACAAGTTTACATCATTAAAAACGAAACAATTTGGGTGCGACGTTGACAGCCAACACGTGAACGATCTGCAGGCGGTCATTAGAAAAAAATGTTCTTCCTTCTTTTTTCTTCTTTGCGAGTATGCAAAGAAAATTAGAGTAAACATGCTTAATTCGTACCATTGCCAAACTCGTTTTTAGTACCTACTTTATATTCTTTAAAAATAATTACATTAATAAACAACTTAAAATGAGCTCAACATAATGGCAAAAAAGAATATAATAATATTCTCATAACAGGATATCTTGAAGTGATCGCAGATATTTATGTACATATAACAACAGTTAACTTCTTGAAGAATACTAACTCTTCAAGTAATTAAGAAATAATTCTAAATATGATTCAACTTTTATAGAAGTTATGATCAAAAATATCTAATTCTTCAACAAAAATTAACACTACATGATCATTAATAATGTTAAATATATTTTAAGAAAAGGAAATTTTAGATGAATGAATTTTCCAGGTATGGTTCCAAAACCGGAGAGCAAAATGGCGCAAAACAGAAAAATGTTGGGGAAGAAGTACCATAATGGCGGAATATGGATTATATGGAGCGATGGTACGGCATTCTCTACCACTTCCGGAGACAATCCTCAAAAGCGCCAAGGAAAACGAATCTGTAGCACCTTGGTTACTTGGTAAGTTCACATGCTTATCTACTTATAAAAAACAAAAAATAAATAAATGTTTCACCTTGGACAAATTCACGAATAATTGCGTTCTTTTATTTACAAAACACTCGACTCCAAACTGAACTCGAACAAAGAGGAATAATTAGTAAGAACACGGGCTATAATGTTAAGAACATGTCGAAATTTTTTTTTCTGTTCGTCTCTATCAGCACAATCGTCTAAGACAAGCAGCTTTAATCAAGATTTCGAAACTAATCAAGAACTGATTGACTGTGGGCCCGCAGGGATGCATCGAAAGTCTATTGAGGCAGCAGAGCATCTGAAATCAGCCGGAGAGGACAGTGGCAATGATCATGCTGGCAGTAGCAGTAGTCCAAATCACAATCATCACCAAGGTGGACCTACCAGTTCTGAAAGTGGACAAGAAAGCCAAGACGGTATGGGAGGCACTTCTTCAACAGGTATATTATCTTATTATCTCAACTAATCACAAAAAATATCTTTTTTGTATGACTATTTATTTAACTACACTACTTACCTCAGACTTCAATCTATTTAAATTATGAACATTTTGTTTCTAAATGATTTTTTTTTTAATTATTTAATTCTAATTTTTCTCTAATAATATGACATATATTATTGGCTAGATATGAAAAAATTTTATTCATGAGAATAACACAAATATTCACTGATTAAATTTCTCGTTTCCTTTAATTAAAATAAAACCTCATGTATCTATTTTATATAAAAAAAGATTGGATCACAAATAAAACAAAAAATATATTATCTTCCAACAGGTGTTGTACAAGATACAGAACAGTTGAGGAATGAAAGTATTGCCTGTCTGAGAGCTAAAGCCCAACAACATCAACTCCAATTGAGCTTACAACCTGCAGCAAGCAGCGCTAGTAGTTCAACGGCACCAGGAAGTACGTCATATCCGACAGGACCTCCAGCAAATACGCTTCATGCCACAGTTTAATTCACAAGTCTCAATTAATTCATTTCCACCTTGACGATGGATAATTGTATTCTGGTTATTTGGATTACCTGCTCCAACCATCGGTTTTATCCGCCCCATTTCCGCTTATATCGGTTCTGCCGTTATTATAGCATAATATCCGGAGAAATCACCAATTTCCCTGATCTTCAAGTTACCTGGATTGGTATGATACACTCAGGAGCAAATGTCGATGAATAGAAAGCATCAGTAAAAAAAAAACTGATTGGCTACTAACGAATTTTTTTAATGTATACTTAAAAATTTATATTTTTTATATTTTGTGTAAACAATACCGCGCCTAATCAACGATTTATTGGTACCTACTTAAATTAATTTCAATACCTTTTTTGATTAGCAACGAAAGTGAGCCTACTCTATTTATTATACATTCTTAATATTTTTAATAACACATCAATTTATTGAACGGCCTATTAATAATTCATTCATAATTCATTGATGGTTAGTTTATCAAAAATATTCACAATTTGGATTCTATGATGTTTATAATTAATAAGCAGTTAATAATTTATTAATCAATGACCTCACTTTGGGATTATGTTCACTGAACAATTTTATCACTGCTACTACAATGAAAATAGTTTTTCTATCATTACTATCTCTATTAATTAGTTTGTATTTGATCAATACAATTTTATTAATAACTCAATATTGATTATATAAATTATTAATTAATGCCTATTGATTTTACACGGATTCCAAACTTAATTGAAAAGAAATTAAAAATGTTTAGTTGAAAAATAACACTTCGTGGCACTACAAGTTGATCCCTTTATAAAATGGAATAAAGTCTGATTGTTGAAAATGTTTCCAGAAAAAAAACCTAGAGTATGTAAAAAAAAAACAAAATATGACATACCTGCAACGAATCAACGCTTTTCAGTTATTCATAATCAAATGAATAAAAACATACATCGAACATGAATAATGTTGTTGATTCTTCTGTGAACAGTTGATATAAATAGTAAACCAAGGAATGAACTTAATCGAGAATAAGAAATAAGAATAATAATAATTTAAATAAAAGAAAATAAGAAAGACGTACAAAACAGATTTTTAGAAATTAATTCCTCATACTCAAGTACTTAAAAGAGACATAACTGTTGTCAAATGTGCAATATGTTGATTTAAGTTATAGGATGATAAGATATGGTATAATTCACTGATGGACAGGCCGAGGTGCTTAATTTAATAAAGTATGAATTGAAATGTGTAATATAATTCATACTTTACTTGTGTAATTTATTAATTCATCAACTAAGAAAAAAAAAATAAATAAATAAGAATAAAAATTTTTCGTAAAATAAAGATGAAAGTTGCATATAACATTAAAGCACCTCGAATTTTTTTTGCCCACTGTAAATAAAAATATAAATAAAAAACTATGAATAAAATAAATGAATAAATATATAAATAAAAAAATTATATAAATATATAAATATAAATATATATATATGTGGTCTCAACGCGTCGGAGCGGACAGTTTCTCCCGGCTTTGTCGAATGCAAAGTCATTGGCTTTTGTAAAGTATATGGAAAAACATTGTAACATTGTAATTTTCCTGTTTTTATTTTTTCATATGTTCCTAGGGAAATTAAAAAAAAACAGTTCTATTGTATGCGTAATTGCATATTGTTCGTGTAATAGAAATAAAAAACTTGAGCGCATAAGTAATGTAAATTGTATAAAAAAGAAAATGAATAAACAATAAGTAAAAAATAATTAAGGGAATAAAGTTAATTAAAGTAAATTTCTAAATCACGCGCTCAAGTTGGACTATTCTTGAAAGGAAAATTCGAACAATTAATTATTGTTAATGACAGAAAATAAAAAATATCGATACTTGAGGATTGGATCGTTTTGACGCGAATCGGCTCTACTATACTATATTACATATTGTAACGCACTATAATTTAACAAATAAATTACTGGAAAAAACGAAAAAATAACCATATGTTCTCCAGAGTAATAAACCAATCAATATAAACAATAACTACCGATTGACAACAATTAAAATACAAAGTAATGAGAAATCAACAACAATAATAATAATGTTATTGCGAACTAAAAACTAAAATACATGTGGGGACATTTTGCAAATTTATGCTAATTTTTCCTCACAATTGAGCGTCCCTATTGCATAAAAAATAAATAGTAGTCAGCTAGTGTACGTAAGAAATAAAATTTCTGAAAAAAAGTTCTTTTTTCGTACAAAATTATTCAAAACCTTCCTTTATGTGATATTTAAATACATTTTATTGTTACTTATGGTTTGTTATCACCAATTTATTACAGATAAAATCATTGTAATAATTATTCTCCTCTTAATAATTCATATTAATACTAATAATAAATATAATAATAATGATAATATTTAATAATAATAATAATAGTCATAATAATTATAATAATCTTATAATAAAAAAAAGGCATGAATACATTGTTGACCATTTTCTGATGATTTCACTAACAACTTTGACTTACCCGTACTAGCGCAATCAACTTGTAAAACTTTTTGTGATTTGTTTTTTTTTTTTAGTATTTTTTTCATCATAAAATCTTTTTTGCTGTTTTATTCTTATGTCTTCATGGCGAATAATGTTAAATATATAAATTGAATTTGAAAAAACAGAGTTATTCAAGTTGATTGTACATCCAACAATATTATTTTATATAAAATGTCAAAAACATTTAATAATCTAAAGAAAAAATTAATAAATCTTGTATTAAATTGAGTAAACTGCATTATCATTTATTTATACATTCATACTCTTTGATGATTATGTTAATAATTACCTGTAAATAAAATTTCTTTTATAATCAGTACATTCTTTTTTAAAAATTTCTTTAAAAGCTCAAATTATTGAATTAGACCCTTCAACTTGTACTTACTATAAATTTGTCTACTTTATTATTTCTTCTACATTGTATGGTTATCAGCCATGTACCAGTTGTTTTGCTTTATATAATATATTATGTTCAATATCTGAATATTCATTTAAAATTAGAAGGGTAAGGTCTTTAAAGGATATCTATTTTTCTTTAAATCCATAGACATTTTTTAGTTGTAAATTACAACTTGTAAAGATACAAATAGATTATATTTGATTCTTATTAGTCTACATTTAAAGTTTTGCATTTGAATTTTAAGTATTAGAGCGGTTTTCAAAAATACTGTTTTCAGTGCTCTCTGTTGAGCTTTTTATGAAGTTTAAAACCGCGCAAATTGGATTTAAAAGTAAATTTTCGATATAAAACAATTTCAAAGAAATGCTTTCATTTTAATTGAAACAAATATGAAAATATTTTTACTTATTTCTTAATGAATTATGAACATTATAATCAATAATTCAATTGTTTATTAATATAATTAAATTATTAAATGTTTTTACATTTAAAAATAAGTATATTACACCTAGAGATGTTTTATGAGTAACTCGTCAACGTTTGAATCATAAATTACTTTTTTTTATTTTTCATAAATGTATGTTGAATCCAAAAATGAATAAATAAAACAATTTTCACATAAATCGTATTCAATTTTCAATCTTATAAATAAATTGAAGTTATACTAAACATGCGATTTTCTCACTCACAGTAGTATTCGTAATAATATAAGTAAATACACTACTTAAAAAATATTCATTAATAATAATATTAACTAATTATATAAGATAGTGAAAAGCTATTAAATATTTACAAAAATACAAAACTTACAAAATATTCGTCAATAAACAGTATCTTAATTTAAAAAGTGTAAAAGTTGAAAAATTCCACGCTCTAATTATATCTTCATTTTTATCAATAATCATTACCTGAATTTGTCTTTATCTTGAAATATAAGATTCCGTGGTTTTGATTATAATTAACTTATTTGTTTACTCCGATTATGCATAAAAACAAGTTGTTTAGGCCTTCCAGTGGTGTTGTAAATATCAAAAAGTGAAAAATTCACTCAAAAATCCAGACTTAGTAATACTCTAAAATGGTAAATGACTTATGAACAATTATACTTAGTTTTTTTTCATAAAATTATGATTTAACAAACTGTTTTAATGTTTGGATAATAATATTGAATGCTTTTTGGTCCAACAAGTACGGGTGAAAAGATTATTCTTTTACCTTAAATAAAAATTCAAGAAATAACTCACTATAACGAATTGACAATGGAAATAATGAATGCAATGAGAGACTATATACAATATAAATTATGATTCCATGTCATATACTTTCTACAAATACATTTCAATAAACTCTATCTTTTCTATATTTATCTTGCTCTTTTTTTTACATATACACTTTTTATTTTGTGATCAATATTTATGCCATATACTCTGATATATTATGATTCTCTGAAATTATGCCGATAGATTGTTTCTACATTAATATTCTTCATATATTAATATTCTTTCATAAATTTATTGCACTGCAAATAGTATACTTCTTATTCTTCTAATTGTTTCTTTTTAATTTTCATTTTGCAATTTATAAAATTTATAAAATCTGCAAATCAATTCAAATTTAAAAGCGGTATTAAATTAAAAACTAATTTTAAATGTCAAATTAAATTTTAGTTTAAAAGAATTATTCTGTTCATTGATTCAAATAATTTTATACATTTTGACTAACCACTGTATAAATAATTCGCTATATTAAAAAATTGTTAACATTTTAGAATGACTATGAGAGAACTTTTTTTCACAAAGATGTACTTTTTTAATCGTATACCTTTAAAACAACGTTGTATTTGATATGTTCATAAAATAATAATAAAATTTTTATGAACTTACAATCAACTAAAAACCCCAAGACAATCTTCATTTTACATTTATAGAAACTGTTGGCACTAAATATTAATTTGCAGTCTTACAATAGAAAATAATAATTTAAGATTAAATTCTATTGTATTTGTTCAATCAATGAAATAATAAATTGATAAAATTGATAATGTGGGAATGTATCATCGTTCGTGACACTATCACTGAAGAAATTCTAGAAACTAAAAAGTCCGAATGATGAAAACACACTGACTGACAGTACTCTACTCCAATGCTACTAAACTCGATGTAGATGATGAGTTATCGACTGGAAAGAAGTGCAGAGAGACTACTTTTTCGATACACTGAAAACCAAATTATCTAGTGTCGCTCACGAGAGTCTTCCCGGTGGAGACTATGCCTCCGGGAGTCTTGACTGCTTGGAGTTACCGGTCGTCGTTTTGATCTTTTAAACTTAGCAATATCTTCACCAAAAACATCTCCAGTTCTCAAGGCTGAAATTAAATCATCAAATTCTCCTTTATTGTCTCCTTGTCCATTACTATTGACTTCATTCTTTTTATTTAAAGAAATGCTATTGAGAATTCCTTCTCGAGAATTTTTTCTCTCCATCGTACGTTTCTTCAACTAAAATAAATACAAATAATGAAAGTCAGCTTTAATTTATCAACTAACTAATTTAAATTTTACTAAAAAAAGTTTATTTTACCTCTTGTTCTTGTTTGGCACGACGTTCTTCTTCTTCAGCTTTCTTTCTCATGTTTTCAACGTCAGCTCTGGCTTCAGTAAGAGCTTGTAAAAAGTTTTCAAAGATTCCGAAGAATTCGTCAGGTTGAACACCCGCAGAATCTTCTCCAAAAAGTCTTACTGCTCGGTCAAATCTGGTTTTCATGTCTTGGAACAAATCTTCAGCTTCAGCTAATCGACATGTTGCTTGAGCTTGAAAATCTCTCATTGCTGGTAGGAACATGTCTCCTTGGAGAACTTGAGCCTGTCCTCGATGGAATTCTGTTTAAAAAACAATTAAATAAATATTTATATTTTAAACGTAAAAAAAATTTTCAAAAAATCATACCAATTTCCCGTTGAACATCTTGGAGTCCATTCTTCAGATTGGCGACCTCCTTTTGAAGGTCAACCATGCTTACTCTTGCAGCTGTTCTTACATGCGGTAAGTCTTCTTCAATATCTAAAACTTCCCTAAATCTTGACTCAAGTATTTGAACAAGATAATGAAGCAGTGTCGTTCCTTTAGCACATGAAGACTTGGTATCTACTAGTCTGTTCAAAGAGGCCAGTCGAAAGCCACAGGCATTGCCTCGGGCGTTTCCACGATTGATGTAATTTCCGAGAGCAAGAACCAGTTCGAGTAACTTCCTGAGTCTTCGTGATCTAGCGACTTGTCGACTCGCTTCAAGAACGGCACGCATCCTCGGCGTCAATTCCGCGATACTGGCAGCAAATTTTTTCTTGTAGTGCAAGGACCTCAGGCGTTGTTCGTAATGCGGTACTCTGAAATCAATAAAACGGTATTATTAATCACTGCATAATTGCAGTGTTCTGGATTTTAAAGTCCTGTCATAACATTAAAATAAACAGTAGTCTTTATATAAAATACAACTTTTATGAATCGATATATTTTTGTTTTGATAACTCAATAAACACTTCTTAAAAACTAGAAAGTTGAAAAAAAAATTCTTACTTAGAAATTTGATAGAGAAAACAATCCGCTCGACTCTGCAAATCTTTCTGATTCATATCAAGCAAAGCAGCTTCTTCAGAGGAAGGAATGTACTTCAGCAATTGTTCGACCATGTCAATATGTAGAATGTTTTGTTGATCCATCGATAAAATTGTTCTTGTAATCTCGTTATCAGACATCTTCAGCTTAGACAGTAAAATAGTACAATTTTGTGCTCTTCTTGAATCGATAACTGACATAGTTTTCTTGTTTTTACCCAAGTTCCTAAGATCTTCAATAGAACCTTCCGCAGAAACACCATTTTTCTGATACGCACAAAATATTTTATCGATCATATCTAGATCCATAATATTATATAATTTAGTGTCATCTAACTCTGACCAGATAGTGCCTTGAAGCTTCTGTTCAGGAATCTTAGACCAGTTAAAGGATTTTAAAGGATTGCTTGATATAGGAACATTCTTGATGACTTCAACCTTCATTGGTGGTGGTGGTGCTGCCGGTGTAAAACATAACGGAGGTGGGGGTGGTGCTAAAGGCGGTGGAGGTGGAGGAGGTGGTGTTGGTTTAGCTTCAATCTTCTCCACCAGATCGTCTTCAACAATTTTAATCGTTGCTTTTGCGTCATCTGGAAGACTTCCTGAGGCTACTAACTGCTCTAACCGCTTCCTCTCAGACTTTTCATTATTAACCTGTCGAGAAAGAGCTTCAATGTTATCTTGGAGTTCAGAAATTCTTTGTTTCGTTTCGATGTGCATTGATGTTTCTTTTTCAAGTCTTTCTTTAATTCTTGCTAAACTTGCTTCCATGTCTTCTTTCTCTTGGGTCCTTAAATCTAATTCTTGTTCTTTTTTCGCTAATTTTGTTGATATATCTGAGTTTTCTCGTTCTAATTCTTCAGCTCGTTTTCTTGCTGCTACCAATTCTTCTTCTTTTGCTAATAAATGAACAATTTCTTTAACATTTATTTCAATTGGAGCGACATCTGGATTCCTAGGAGTTCCACCTTCATTGCCTCCTTCAGATTGCAGAACTATTTGCTGAACAATACGATCAAATAATAACCAATGTTGAGGATACGAGCCGTAATCTAACGGAAGAAGAAGACAGTGTTCGAGTAAGCTTAACAAATGAGTATAAGCTGCTGTATGACTCAGCTTTCTTCGTAATAAATCAAACATTGCAGTTGCACTCTTAGTATCTATGTGGTCTTTCTCAAATTTTCGCGCTAATTCCTTTTCATCTTCATTTCTCACCATTTCAAAAAAATCTAAATGCCTGTCTAAAGTTTCGTTTTCATATTTACGTAATTTTTCGATAATTGGTTGGATTCCAAGCATTAACAATTCATACCGAAGATGAAGTCGAAACTCTAGAGTCACTTGTCCTGGTCCGTAATTTAATACTGCATTAATAAATGACATAATTGCCGTTTTTAAAGATAGATTGTCTTTATAGATGCCAAAATTCTTGTCTAAATCGTTGATTATACTTTGGAATCGAGTTCTTTCGAAGTGATATTTTTGAAAATGAAGCATCGCTTCTAAAACTTTCCGATGTCCTCCAGGGACAAGGCATACTGCACCCAAAATTTCGAGAACAGAAATTTTTGCTTTAATGTTTTCTGTTGCAAGTGATTGAGATATTGTATTTATCGCTGTTGGATGAGCCAATACATGAGCCCGACCATTCTAAAATAATGAATCAATTAATTAATAATTATCAGAGATGAGTTAACATTAAATTAATATTATATTAATGGATTAATTAGTTTAATTTAAATATTCCTGAATAATTTTTATGCTCTTTTTTACTCAGAAAATATTGAGAAAAAGTTAATTACAATCAATAAAATAAAATAAAGATCGAATCAACCAAGAAAATTTCTAAAACATTATTTCTTTCGGCATTCTACTAACGGAACTCTGAATTATTCATTAGATAAAAAACAGATTAAGAACACATGTTCCAATTAAGTAAATATAGTAGAAAGGAAATTTGTTCAATAACAGTATTTAATTTATCAACACTACTTTTCAAATGTACTTGTTAATTTTTTTTCATTAATAAAAAAAAATTTTTTCAATAAATTTTAAAAAAAATCTTAACTAGCTTAAAAGATAAAAAACTTACCGAATTGTTCATTAGTGCCTTTAAACATCCTATAACACTTGTATGGAGATTACTATTAGCTGCTTCAACATCTATAGTTCCCAAAATTTGCAATAAAATATTCAACCCATCAAGTTCAATAAATCTAAGAACAAAACTGTGTGGTTGTGTTCTTAAAGCAGTTTTTAATGCTTCTGCTTGTCTTATATGATTGGATAATTCTTCAGCATCTTCAGAAATCGGTGTCTATAAACAAAATTAATATTAAAAATGAATTAATAAAACACTAAACTTTATAGTAGCTTCTTAAATAGTTTACTTGAGTAAATTTATTGAAACAAAATATCAATTAATGCATATAAATATCTCTGAAAGCATCAATAAATTACAACAAATGAATCATTTACCGTTGTTATCACACGAATCCTGTTGATATAGTCTTCGGGATCTCCACTTAAATCAGTCGTTCGTAGGCCTCCATTATCAAGGGTATCATTACCTTTCCTTGAGCAATAAATCTGCCATTTTTTATTGGCAGGAAGTGCCAATACTGCTTGACGATTCGCCTGCGTAAGATCTAACTCATCAACAAGCTCCAAAAACATTTTATTTAATTCTTCTTCAGCAGGCATTGGCAATGTTGGGGTCATTGCTTGAAGCGTGAGTGTACCCGTCTGCTCCACAACGCAGTACGTAATTTCTGGAGGTTCATCATCCTGAAAATCGTGAAAATATTATGTAATATTCTTTTTATCATTCTCATAAATTGTTAATGTATATTAATATTTGATTTTAGCCAAGATTGCTTAATATTTAACAATTGTAAACTTTTACTTTATCTACACTATCTAAAGAAAGGTCAGAGGATTGAAGCAAGTCAACAGAAAAAAGACAAGTTTGTAAATCGTGTAAAGGTCTGATATTACTGCAGTAACAACTGTAATCGATCGGGGCTTAGGAAAAATGATTTACCTTTCCATATACTCAACAACATTCCATAATATTTTCTGAACGAAATTGTTTAAGTTACGCATAACTGTAAGTTTACACCTATGATTTTTAGACAATAAATAACAAACACTGACAACTGGTTCATAATAATTATGTTAACGATAACATCTTTATGCATAAAATAACTATTTAGTATATATGAACAATTTCTTTCTCAATTTTCTCTCTTACTGAAGCGATGGACGGATATTTTTATTTTTCAACTTCACACCTCGTTTAATTTAATTGAAAATAGTGATCAATTATAATCATAGTAAGATTAACCTATACGTGAAAAATCGTATTCTCATAAAAAACTACCCTTTTCAGAGTAGAATAAAGATAATGTAGGTTTAAAAAATGATACTGATAAACCAAAGAGAAGCAAATTAGGCAAAGTAGTTTTGGAAATTTTTGAAGATACCATTCCAACTTTATAGCTAGTCGTATTTTTCTACATTCAAGTTGTAAAACTGAAAAAATATGCACAGTTTTGGCAAAGTTAAATGTCACCTTCGACATCGACCAAAAAACGTAAAATCTTGAAACTACAGATTAAATTAAAAAAAGAAAATACGTGAAGCAATAAGAAGAAAAAAAATTTTTTATCGAGTGAACCTAACCAAGGCCAACAAGATTTGCAGCGAGACACTACATACATGGTTTTCCTGAGAAATCTGTATCCTGTCATCGTTTTTCTTTCTTTATGCTTCCCTATTTCATTTCTTGTCTGTACAGCAAATAGCATTAAGAGGGAAAATGATTTTCACAAAAAGAAGATTCTTATGTAATATTCTTAGCATAAAAAAATAATGAATCATGATTTCTGCATGCAAAAAATATAAATACTATCACAATACACTGTAATACGTGAGAAATTAAATAAATTCGATTATTGTAATAGTTGATCACATGATTACAGTAGTATATAATCTTCCCGAATCTATGCTATTAGGTAGCATTACATTGTAATATTTTTTGTCGTGTAATAATACATAAGTATTTATGAATTGTTTTTGATACATTAACACTTTATTAAATGACTTAGTTACTAATAGGATATGTAATGTGAGTTATCTAAACTTGCAATTAATTAGAAAGATTTATTTTTCTTCAAGTATGTAATGTCTCGTAATTTTCCAGATTCCTTTGTCACAAATTACCACGTCATTGAATAATATATGCCGATGGCTGTCACGGAAGTGAATAAAGAGCAATCAATCGATTACTTTCTTTCTATGATGCACAAGGTCATCATATAACTTATGGCAGGGACAAATATGCAATAAATCGTATGACGAAGACAACAACAAGTGGTAATAATCATAAAAAGAATGTTTCCTTGCTCTGAATGACTTGCTCATCTTCAACAATGTTAAGTAGAGTTCACAACTGCCGTAGCAAACGATCCGTAGAAAAATGTGTCGTTAAGAATAATCTAGAGTCAGTATATTTAATGATACAGCAGCATACATTGTGATTAATATAATTTTTTAGAATCAATTCAATTATTTATCGGATTACTTGTCGTATCTTAGATTTATTTATTCATTTATTTATTATTCATTTGTATCAGAAACTTTCACTTGATAGAAAAGGCATATTTTTATAAAATAATAAAATTTATAAATGATAGCTGTAAGATAAAATAAATCTTCACGGTCTATTCAAACACGCTCGCAAAATAACTCTCAGTTTCTAACTTGATTTCGATTTCCTTACCTGCAGGCAACCACAAAATGATTTCTTCACCCGAGAAGGCATCGTCTGGCAGTGCACGACAAATTCTTTAAGAGGTTGAGGACTTCTCAAGGAACAAGTCGGGATCCTCTGCAATAAAAAAAAAAATTATTAAATAAATAAATACTTCATTTATCAAATAACAATTGCTTTTTATGATGTTATATTAAGAATTAAAGAATTTAAACAAGCTATTTATAGAATATTCCAAAAAGTATATCAGATAATGAATGTGACATTAATCATGACATTAAATGATGAATATTAATAATATCCATTAAAATATATTTCAAAAAATATTGTCAATTCAGGTGATAATAAAATGGTGTCAGTGATGTTTACCGAAATAAAATCACTCCAGAACTTCATTTCCTGTTAAATGTAAATGTCAAACATTGTGCGAATAAATTTCTTATTTTCACTTGGTGAGGACAACAACAAATGACAATCAACGATAAATTTCACTTTTGTACATTTCCGTATATCAGTAAGAGAAATACTATCAAGCAATACTTTACTTTAAGCTGCGCGAAACTTCCGTCTTTGACACCGCAGAAAAATTTTCCGGCTACTAAGAAGCCTTCAATCGTTTATTATCGTCAACACAAAAACTTTTTATCAATGCAATTAACTCCTGGTCATTATCTGCATAAATGTATGTGGTGGTATCGTTGAGATTACTAAGCAGGTCAAGTTCCTGGGAGATATGAATTATTAATATAAATGTACGGTTATATGTATCTATGCTGATTTTAGAGATACATTGAAAAAATACAAATTGTTGTTAATATGATTTTTTTCATTTCTACTTGACATCGATTCTGTCAAGATTATTAATATAGATTCAGAATTATTATAAAGATGCCTACACAATTAAGAGTGAAAGTAAAAAATTGTGGTTCTTATTGTCTTATAATTGTTTGTATTGTTCATATTAGACAAGTTAAATTTGTAAAAGAAAACTTATAATTAGGCTGTAATAACTGCAAAGCGAATTTATTTAAATTAAATTTAGAAATTGATGGTTATTTATGTTGAAAAAAATCTTGGAATTAAAAAGGAAAACGAAATTTTTATGAAAGTGAAATGAATATGAAAGTCAGTGTGCATCATAAAAATTACAGATTTTGATGAAAATTTAAAGATTAATCACTAAAGAAAACTGAACGTTTAAATACAATTACAATCATTTTTTTTTAATTATCAACTTTTTCACAGATTAAGAATTATTAAATAATTCATTCAAAACACTATTATATACAATCTGTACATGATGTGAGCAAGGTAGTTATAATTATAAACAGAATAACATAAATTGTGATTCTTTTCAATTTTTCTTTGGGTGAGAAATTGAATTAAAAGTTTGAGAAAAAAATCATTAAGCAACAGATAATCATCAAACACTTTGTACAATCAAGGGGAAATAATATATGTATAATTAGAAAATTTGATATTATTTTTAAAAACTTGATAATAAACGATCTGTTAATGATGTATTAATTTCATTTAAAATCATACTATTGATTGTCGATTATTTTTTTTTTCACTAATATTCTTTATAATTTCATTACTTTTTGTTTTCACTAACTATAATTTTATCTTAAATCTTGATATAATATCTATAAGTCTTTACAAACTATGGATATATGCAAATGCAACAAAGTAAAAACCATTAATTAATTTTTTATATAACATTTAAAGATTTTAAATTATTTCTAGTAGAATAATAAGTGAGAATCACATTCTATCATACGCACACACTGAAGTTTCCTCTTTCAATTCACGCGCTACCGAGAGAGTATACTTGTTATCTTGATAAGATAACATTATGCATATTTAACAAGTCAATTATGGAATAGAAAAATACAAACGCATCACAAGTGTATCTAACACAAGTGTTCTTTTGGGAGCATCAGATATATTTTAGGTAATACTGAGCAAATAAAACTCATTTGATAATATAAAAGTCAACATACAACAACAAGGCAAATGTCGAAACAAATTTTATGCTAAACATTATGTGACCTTCAATAATGGCTTTGAAACTGTGTTTTGATAATTATTTCGTGAAAAGAGATAAGAAAGGAATGTCAATATATAGTATTCATATATAACTGCGTGAATTAAAACCAAGTGTGAAGTAAAATTCCAGACAAACAGGTAATGTCACAGCAGGTCTCGGGTGGCAACTTAATATATGAGACAAAAATAAAATAAAAAGAATAAAGGTAATAAAAGAAAATATGGTCACCCGAGATTTTCAAGGATAGAAAAGGCATTTATTCATATAATTAAGATTTCAAGTGAATATCTTTATATACAATGAACTCCTGTAATCGGGAACCATGAGTATTAGTTATCTGAATAATTATACGATCCATCTCGTAAACTCTTTACGCTCCTATGACTATCGCGCTTACTTGCGCGTGATTTTTAGTTAATGAGGATTTTGACTCCAATCGTATTTGTAATTTTAACTAAACAAATAAACAGAAATTTCACTTCGTACATATCGGTTTCTGTTTACTCCATAAGGATTTAAACATTTATGTATTTTTTTTTTAATGATAAATTTTTCTGTATCGAAAGTTCAAAAGGTTAAAGATTTTTACAATTTATTCTGAAATGTCGATTAATGAATAATTAAAAATAATTATATGAAAGAAATATACATATAATATGAAATTATTCATTCATCAATTTGAGAAAATGTTGAATATCTAATTATGATAAACTATAGTCAATTAACACTAACTAACGCAATCAATATGTTAAGTAGAAAAAGATGTTTAAAATGTGGTCTATCCAAAAGCTCCTTTAATGACTTATTGGAGCAAAATTAATGAAGTTACAGTTGATTAGTTGCTCTATCAAACAGAAAATTGATACTACAAAAACCTCTAGTGACACTTTGAAAATATTATTGTGTATCATTTAAAAATACAATCAGTTAATTTGACAATTAATAAAAAATTCTTATTTAATTCAAGAGAATTCAAACAAATTCATATTGCATTTTCTTTCAAATTTATAAATATTTGAAAGTTTACAGTAATACATAGTGATATAATGATGTACCTTTAACTATTTTAATTAGATAAAAACGCATCTACTGTTAGTAGAAGGATCTACTGTTCAGTTATCGGTTTTAACTGTTTACCTGTTGATTTGTAAATGCTGATTAAATAACCCAACAATACTTAAACCAATAAACAACTCAGCAATAAAGAATTACAATTACTAAAGTATATCTAACTCAGATTTTATTGCTTTTTTAGAAAATTTCCATTATCATATGAAATGAAAAATAAAATATATTAACTAAAAAGTAATTTAAAGTATTATACATTTCTTCTACTATTTCATCACTACTAAATGTTTATTTTTGTCATGCTGAGGTACTTGAACAAAGCAATGTTAACCAAAATGCTTGTTCATATCAACAAATTTATAAAACTAAAAAATGATGTTTTTTGAATTTGACATTAATATGTTCATAGTATGCTATTTCATCAGAAAAATATAACTTCCATTAACACCTAGAAATTCTCCAAACTTAATTACATTCCAATTCTCTCCATTAATAAGACAAGTCAACGTGAGAGTAATAGCAGTATAACGTTAATAAAAAATTGAGTCATTAAACTACTCATGAATCGGACTTTTTTGATAGCTTCATAGTATGATTGATAGAAGTTTAATCTCATGATGGAATTTGAGCAGGTGAAAACGAATCACGTTTGATCATTTTGTATTAAATCTACAGAGAACAAATCAACGACAACTATGTGTATAGGTATATAACCGATAGCCTATAGTTTCTCTCATCGAATAACTTTGGTGAGAGTGATGAAGACCCAAATAAATGATATACAATAACATCCATGAATGTTCACATTTTTTTTTTCATTGTTCATTGAATAGACCAGGTAAATTTCACCGAATGTTTAACAATTATCCTTTAATTATGCGAATCAGTTGATGCAAGCTTATTATAATAAATCGTAACATCCAAATGAATAATAAGACAGCAATTCACTTTTGATATTGAATAAATTAATTGCGATTTTTAATTAATTATTATTCTAGTGAGGGGGTTTAGAACAACCACGATAGAATAATAATCTAGAGTTATTGCAATATTAAATAGTCCCACGGAATTATTTTTTGCCCTATATGTGTATCGAGAGAAACTTTATTAAATCAATTATTTAATTCAATTTAGATGAAATAAAAAATGTTTTCTTGAATTGTTTTTGATAAAATGATTAATAGAACAGCATTTAATAGCAAAATAAAAGAAGAAACTTTCATAAAAAGAAAACAAGTAATTAATTTCAAAGATGAAAATAATTTTGATAATTGTTTAAATGGAATTTATAAAGACATGATTTTAATTTGATGATAAATCTAATAAACTAACAGTTATGCAATTTTTTATGCACTGAAAAAAGTTAAAAATACTTATGAAATTTGTATAAAATAAATATAATAAAATACCAGGTTGAGTTTTCCAATTTTTTCCAGCACAGTCTCCATCTTGAGATAAATATAAAAATACTGAAATTCCAGAATTTTTCCCGCTATTCTGTTATTTTGATTTACTTCTAGTGTTCACAATGCGTGGATCTTCGTCATGCCACGTCTGTGACGTTTGAGATGCGATAAGAGACCCTTCAAATCTCTCTCGCGTGCTCACTGTCGTTTTCTTGATTCCTTACTGGTCACGGCGCGTGTCGGTCACGCGTGTGACTTTCATCCAGATCGATATTTGTGAAGCACCATGAAATTTAGCAGGCCACGGTTAAATTATCCTGACCACCTTAATCGGGGTATAAAACAAAAGACGCAAATAAAATGACTTTAAATAAGGGCCTCTTCTTGCCGAAATTTCACCGGCTGCAGGTGAGATCGAGCCATGCAAACCTCAATTGCCTGCACGAAAGTTCAGCCTCAGGCTGTCAGTCGTTTCACTTTAATTTTGTATCACAAATTTTTTTACTCAAATTTATTTATTAAAAATAAATTTAACTCATGTCATATTAATTCATTTGACTGATGGACATCATAAAAAATAAATAATTAAAAGTTTGTTGTTTTATTTTTAATAATTAAAACAAATCCACTAAAAATCGTTAAATGTCTGTAACACGTGTTGTATGTAACTGGCATATATCAAAGTAAAATGATTAAACGGTATAGGTTTTTTTTTGGAGTTAACATTAATTTTTTTAAAAATTATTTAAGGCCGCACGTGTCGTCATAAATGTCCCGAGTACGATATGAGAGAGCGGAGAACCTCCTCACTCGCGATTCTCAACCGAACTGCCAGCTGAAAATACAACACCTCTCATGCACAAGTGTACCTGTAGAAACTTGTGAGGATTGTCTGAGAGAAGGGGACTGACTGACTTGGGCCCCCACGGGACTGCCATGGGTCAATCTACTGTTTTATTTTTTTATTTTTCAGTTTTCACATATCAAATTCAAACTATCGACATATTAGACATATTTTTCAGAATATAATTGACAGGCAAATGAAAGTGAAATGCAACCAGGAAATTCATTTCAATAAATCTCTTCTCTGATTAATAAAAAAAAATAAAACTCAAGAGATATATAAATGGAGTAATTAAAAAAATCCCGTAAATTTATCTTTTCTTAAAGAAAGTTATATAAACTCGTTAAAAAAAAAATTGACAACTTTTTCCCAAATTAAGCGTTTATTTTTAACTGTTGCTCTTCACATTGCTAAAACTACCGTGACATTTTCTCTTATCCTCCTTCTCGACATTCTATCACCACTCGAGGACCATTAAATCTTACCAGGAGTTTTGAGCACGTCGTAAAACATGTCTGAAGATATGAAAAACAAAAAGAATTATATTCAGAAGCAAACCGTATACTTATTCATTTGCAGTGAAAGAAAAAATAATTTTTCAGCAGTAGAAATTACTCGAACCCAACAAGTATTTTATTGAAGCATTTTAATAACATATTTTTTCATTAAGTACTAAAGATTTCTCTTTTTTAATTTTAATGGCATCCTAATATCATGTTTGTTGATGTTTGAAATATGATGATTATAATAATTCTCATAATTAATGGTTTTTCGTTATTTTTATTAAATTAGTCAGTACATTTGGATTAATAGTTTTGTTTATTATTGTTTCAGAGTTTAGAAAATAATCGTTGATAAGTAGAAAATTAGTATTCATAAACAACAGGTGAGTAAAAGAAAATTTTAAAAAAAGTTTTTTTTTAAATGATAATTATTACAACTTTAACTGATAATTGGAAAACTGAAAAAAATTCATATCGTCTCTCTGTGACAAGCTTTAATTTCAAGAATTATCATCATTTTTTTTTATGAAACAAAAAATGATGTGCATGACTGTTTGATTAATTATTAGTTGATAGATTAATATTTGTATAATGAATAGAGAGTTTCAATTCTCGTGTCGATAATCGTAATAGTTTCTGCAGTTTCTAATTATACTAACGATGATGGTAACTCCTATATTTGTTCACTCTTAATATTTTTAAACTTTCATTATTTTTATTTTAGAATAGTGAATAGTAGAGCAATGTCTTTTCTTATTTATTTGATATAAAAAATAATCGTATTTATAATTAATATTTATCATTAATCAACGAAATGAATTTTTTATTTATAAAGTTGATAACAAAGATTTTCATTTTCAACGTCAAAATTGTATCATTATATCAAGTTTGAGTTCTAATTAAAACAAAATAAACCATTATTCATGATCAGTCATTATGTACAAGAAATTAAATAAAAATGAATATTTCTATTTCTATGATTATTTGTGTTATCAAGAATTTTCCTTCTGACTGGTCTTTACATTGTTTTAAAAAATCAATATGTTCACAATTATTGTGTGAAGTTAGTTATAAAATGAAATTGAGTGTTTTAACATTTAAAACGTAGTTCAACTATAAAATAACAATCATAGCAAGTGGTAATCATAAATATTTCCATAAAAATTTCATAACATTAGAAACCTAACAGAATAGCAAACTTGTACATAATCTCAATTTCGATAGAGTGTCTGTAAAGCCTAGATTCCATCTCATGGATGGTTGCGAATATAAAATAAACATTTTTCCTCGTTGTGTCCATTATGAATATTTGAAGGAATGCAATATGGCATAATATAGAAATCAGTAGACACAATTTCTTTTCTTGAATCATTACACGGTCCGTCTGATACTCGTCCTCCTGACCTGACCTCGACGGTATCTCAGTATTCGATCTATCATCGATACAAGTACATTTACGGGAAAAGATGTGAGGATATGCAGACAGGCGATCCATGGCCATAACATAATAGCTACTAAGTACCAATTCTTAACTAACACTCAACTTACTTCTCTAAACCTTTCTATTGCAATTTTATTTCCGTCGAGGAAACTGCAAGCTGATAAAAGCTTCACTTACCAGCTGTTCGAAGGAAATAAGAGATTTCTAACGTTTTGTAATCAACTAACGGCTTCTGTCAAGACTGTAATCCACACCTGTGTAGCGATCGATTCTCATGTACTATATGGGTTATGTACGGTACCTACCATCAGTTATACATGCATATAATATGCATAATATAAATAAAAAATGTTTATCGATTTTACACTGGCACACTTGATGTATAGCCACGATAGTTCGATCCCCCTTTTTTTGCAAAGATTCTTCGACTCTGTAGCTAAATTCACTTTTGAAATGTATAAAGTATTCTTACGTATGATCATCAATCATCATCAATGAGTAACTGAAGCCTTTTTTATCGATTCATTACTTTGTAAAAATCAAATCAACATGTATTTGCTTGACTAGTCACATTGCAATATTTTTTATTGTAGTAAATTTATTATTTCAATCAGACACTCCAAGAGAATACTTAACGAAGTTCATTGTTTTTTTTTCTTTATTATAATTTTGAGAAAAACAAATATTTTTTAATTAATTTGTAATTGATGATTGTAGAAAATATTAAAAACAAAAAAATTTATAATTCATGTTGCTGTTAATGACAATGAGAACAATGTTCATTAAAAATGTCATCTTCTCAATATTGTTTTTTACAATACTTATTTTTTATTTATTTATTCTTTTTAATAAAAGAAAAGTAGAAGAAAGAGAGTATTCATGAGCAATTACATAGAAACAACCTTTTTTTTATTATTAAGTCGACTATTAAATAATAAGGAAAATGTAAGTTTCACTTACTCTAATTACTCTCAATAAATATTGGATTAAACTTGAATGTTTTTTAACAGCGAGATTGAATGAAATAAAAAATTTTTAATCGATAATAATCGTTGGTAAAACAAATATATTATTAAATTAATCACAATACTAATTGAAATATAGCAATCGTGACTTTTAGTTATTCTTGATCGATAGATTGAAAAATTGTTTGTTTATATCATCTATGAAGACATGAAAAGGTTATAATTTTTAACACAAATAATAAATACAGAATTACAAAATAAATAATGTTTTGTTTAAATTGATATATTACAATTAAGAGGTTAGTTAATTAATGATAAATCATCGTTAAATATGTTTCATAAAAATTTTTGTTTCCTCTGAAGCAGGAATACGTCTAAAAATAATTCTTGTGATCTTTAAATATTACAAAATAGAATTTTTATGCGTCTACACGACTGATTGATGTTTCTAACAAGATAATTTAATGACATACCAATAAATGAGGATATTTAAGCATTTGTCAACATTGAATATACACTAACCATTCCCCTACTCAACATAATAAATAATACAGCCGAAAAACCATAGAACCTATTTCATCACAATCTTCATATATAATTACATATGAAGCTGATAAGCTACTCAAAGTCATTTAAAACGAGAAAAAACCGTCTGTGTATAAGAAGAAAGTATGTGAGATAAAGGTGAAAGAGCATGAAAGATTTTTAAAATACTTATGTATTATGTCAGACTATAAGACGCCTACAGGTATAGATATTTAACTGAACGTTTACTCGAATTCTCATAAATATCATGAGGTATTGGATAAAATGTTATAAATTTTCATATAAAATCACGATGCGGTTCTTTGAGCTCCTCAACACCTTTTTTCTATCAAAAAATCTTCAGGTGGGCCACCCAAATTAGAATGAATTTAATTTAAACGTTAATCTAGTCTTACTCTGCGTACGTTTTTCTCAACGTCCTAATCGGTGTCAACTGCTGCATGTATCGACCTACTCAGGAAGACCCGTTATGCTGTAGCTCCCACCTTGGACGATTCTAACTTTCAGAACATATTCAGGCAAGTCTACACACTCTCGATCAGTTGTTGGTTATTGCAAAGATATGTCCAATTGCCAGGATACTGATAATTTAGCTAAAAAGTTTAGTAGATGCTTATATGTATTTTACGTATATAAATATTTATTAGAAAACTACTGAGACAAGTGCGTAGGCTCATTCATTACATAGTCTACTTAAGACCGAGCTGATTCTTATCCAACTTAATAGACAATTTCAACGACCTTTTAAAGCATTCCCACGTAATAACAGTTTTTCATAAATTCGTCATTATCATTAATCACTATATTTAACCAATAAATTTCTTTGTATGCTTCATGCTGGGTGAAAAAAAAGGTTTTTTCGATTTTTTTTATACGTAAAAATTTTTATACTTTACATTGTCGCTTTTAGTTATTTTTAATTAAAATTTTATTTCCTATAATGATGAAAACATTTCTCAATAAAGTAATAAATTTTTTTAAGCAATCGAATTTTGGAAATGATTTGAAAATTCATTGAAAATCAATTTCTCTTATGGGTTTTATGTAATAAGTGTTATAACATCTACTGAAGATGAGAAAAGTCATAACAGTAATTTTTCATTCTCGTAACGAGCAGTATTGTAAATTAGTAAGTATTCTTACAACAGTATTAGCTTAATCAATTGTAACAATGAATAATTCATTCAATTATAAATTATTCACTTTTAGGAAAAAAAAAAATTTTTTTTCGAAATTTAATAAATAATAAAATTACAGTTATTTGTATTGTGCTGTCACTTAATAAACATTTCACACAGAGAAATATTTCTTTCCAACTTTGAATGTAATTGAATTTTCAATTGTTATTCATTTAAATTTTACTACAATTTTATTTTATTTTTAAGCATCCTATTCAATAGAAAGAAATCCTAATCACTGATATTTTTTACTTTGAAGAACAATGAAAGCACATAACAATCTTCATTAAAACATGTTTAGCATACTTTAATACTTTATTTATTTTGAAAAAAA